CGTCGGGATCTACGAGGCCATAATAACACCGAGTCTTTGTACTCCGGGACTGAGGACCTTGTTCGTGGCGGGCCTTCGAGTGGGATAGATATATGGAGGACGAGGTGGCGCCGATAGATAACGAGAGAGATAGATGATGAAGATAGAGAGGAGGAGGGTGATTACAGATAGATAAGAGAGAGAGATAGATGATGAGATAGAGAGAGGGGGTGATACAGATAAATAAGAGAGAAAATGTAAGAGAGGAGGAGAATGCGTCGATAGATAATAAGAGAGAGAGAGATGGATAGAGAGAAGGGGGATGATACAGATAGATAAGAGAGAGATAGAAGATGTAGATAGAGAGAAGGGGATGATACAGATAGATATATGGAGGACGAGGTGGCGCCGATAGATAACGAGAGAGATAGATGATGAAGATAGAGAGAAGGGGGATGATACATACAGATAGATGGAGGACAGGATTGCTGTCGATAGATAGATAGAGATAGAGATAGATGATATAGATAGAGAGGAGGGGAATGCGCCGATAGATAGCGAGAGAGATAGATGATGAAGATAGAGATGGGGGGGGGGGTGATACAGATAGATTATAAGAGAGATAGATGATGAAAAAGAGAGGGGGGAGGATGCAGATAGATAATGAGAGAGGAGATGATGAAGCATAGAGAGGAGGGGATGATACAGATAGATAAGAGAGAGATGATGATATAGAAGAGAGAGAAGGTGATGCTAGATAGATATAATGGAGGACGAGGTGGCGCCGATAGATAACCGAGAGAGATAGATGATGAGATAGAGAAGAGGGTGATACAGATAGATAGGAATGAGATAGATGATGTAGAAAGAGAGAAGGGGGATGATACAGACAGATGGATGGAGGACAGGATAGCGTCGATAGATAATGCGAGAGATATATGATATAGAAAGAGAGGAAGGGGATGATACAGATAGATAATGAAAGAGATAAATGATATAGATAGAGAGGAGCGGGATGATACAGATAGATAATGAAAGAGATAAATGATATAGAAAGAGAGAAGGGGTGATACAGATAGATATATGGAGGACGAGGTGGCGTCGATAGATAACGAGAGAGATATATGATATAGAAAGAGAGAAGGGGGATGATACAGATAGATAATGAGAGAGATAGATGATATAGATAGAGAGGAGGAGAATGCGTCGATAGATAATGAGAGAGAGAGATGGATAGAGAGAAGGGGGATGATACAGACAGATAGATGGAGGACTGGATGGCGTCGATAGATAATGAGAGAGATAGATGGTGTAGATAGAGAGGAAGGGAATGCGTCGATAGATATTGAGGAGGGGGTGATACAGAAAGATAACGAGAGAGAGATATAATATAGATAAAGAGGAGAGGGATAATGAGAGAAAAAAATTATATAGCAGATAGATATATGGAGGACGAGGTGGTCGATAGATAAGGAGAGAGAAAGATGATATAGATTGAGAGGAGATGGATGCGTCGATAGATAATGAGAGAATGATATGGATAGAGAGAAGGGGATGACATAGATAGATATAGAAAAGATAGAAATACAGTAGAGAAG